ACCACCTGCGATATCTCCTCCGTCGGGTCGCTCTCCACCTGATGAGAGCTGGGAAGCTTCAAGATAGAAGCCTCATCAAATGTGACGTCCCTACTCAGAACAATCTTTTTATCAACTGGATCCCAAAGCTTGTATCCCTTGACACCACGCTTGAATCCTACAAATATGGCCTTCCTAGCTCGAGGTTCCAATTTATCAGTTCTAACATGATAATATGCAGGGCACCCGAATACCTTGAGCTGGTCATAGTCATGTGCTGGCTTTCCCGACCACATCTCCATAGGGGTTTTCCCCTCAATCGCAGATGAAGGCAGCCTATTAATGAGGTGGCTCGCATATGTAAGTGCCTCAGCCCAAAAGATCTTCTCCAAACCACTCTGCGACAATAAGCATCGGATCTTCTCCAGTAAAGACCGATTCAACCTCTCTGCCACCCCATTTTGCTGCGGTGTATGACTAACTGTGAAGTGTCTCTCTATGCCCTCGTCTCGACATAGCTGCTGAAAGGGGTCAGAAGTATACTCACCACCGTTGTCGGATCGCAACGTCTTGATCTTTCTCCCAGTCTGCAGTTCCAATCTCTTCTTCCACTCCACAAACAAATCTAGGACTTCACTCTTCTTCGTCATGGTGTACACCCAACAACGCCTAGAATAGTCATCTACAAAAGTGACGAACCAATGTCGACCACCAAGTGATGCAGTCTTGGTGGGACCCCAAACGTCTGTGTGCACGTAATCCAGGATGCCCCTCGTCTGATGAATGGCAGTCCCGAACTTCACCTTCGTCTTCTTGCCAAGAACACAGTGCTCACAGAACTCAATCTTCCCACTCTTGGCTCCCTTCAATAGCCCCTGCTTGCACAATGTCTGCAGTGACTTTTCACCTGTGTGCCCCAATCTATAGTGCCAAAGTCTGCTCATGTCCGCTTCTGAAATAGCCGAAGCAACCTGGCCAATCTCGGTGCTTCCCTTCAGATAATACAAATTCCGATTGCGGACTCCCCTCATCACCACCAATGATCCCTTAGTAACCTTCGCTACAGCGTTTTCGAAAGTCACCTTGAATCCCTTCGCCTCCAAAGCTCCAACTGAGATAAGATTTTTCTTCAGTTGAGGAACAAATCTCACCTCCTTCAACTCACGGACTACTCCATCGTGCATCCTAATCCGTACGGTACCTATCCCACAAACGCCACAGGATTGATCATTTCCCATGACAACAACGCCCCCGTCGACTTTCTCAAAAGATGCAAACCAGTCTCGCCTAGGGGTCACATGAAAGGTAGCGCCGGAATCAAGCATCCAATCTGATGCATCCACATGGTTCACCTCCGGAGTAATCAGTAGAGAAAAGCATGAATCATCGGAATCATCGCCTTTCGCAATATTCACCTCATTGGCCTTCGGGCCCTTTTTCTTGTCATTCTCCTTCTCCTTGAGCTTCGGGCAGTCTCTCTTCCAATGTCCCTGCTCCTTGCAGAATGCACATTGGTTCTTTGTTAATTGGTGGCGGCCTCTAGACTTTGACCTCCCTCTGTTACCACCTTTCGGATATGGGCTTCTACCTCTCGTCGACAAGGCCTCTCCTGAAGTACTAGCGCGGGAAGTCTCCTTATCCTTCCTCCTCAAATCGTAGTTCGTCAAAGCGTTAGTCACTTCACTATAGCTGATCGAAGATCTCCCGTTCAACAAAGTGAGCACGAAGGTATCATACTCCTCATCCGGTAAGGAGCCCAACAAAATAATCGCCTTGTACTCATCCGATATCTTCTCATCAACATTCGCCAAGTCCGACAACAACTTAGTATAGTTGTTCACATGCGCCGCTAGTGAGGTGCCTCTGGACATCTGAAATCTGAAGAGTCTTCGCAGCAAGTGCAACCTGTTCTCAACACTCTTTGTGAGATACTTATTGTTGAGAATTTCCCACATCTTCATTGCAGACGTCACCCCAATCACATCATATTTCAGCTCCTGTTCCAAACAGGACCTGATCACCCCACAAGCGTTCCTATTCATTTTCTCCCATACCGCCTCATCATATTTAGGTGGTCTTTCGTGGACCATAATGGTCTCTTCCAAATTCTGAGCATTGAGCGCATCCTGTACGTCGCTCATCCACAAACCAAAGTTGATTTTGCCGTCATATTTCACCACACTAATTTTAGTGTTCTGAAAACCAACTTGTATTGTACCCGCCATCGATTTGCTGCTTTCACCTTCTTCTCCCATTGCGAACTAACTCCAAATTGTAGAGAAAGAACAAATTTGATAGAATTAGGAACCACCCAACTGAACCCTAGATCGGATTCCAAATAGATCTCCTATCCACACGAGGAAAGCGAAATCTCCAACGGCAACTCCTAATGTTATCTCCACTGAAGCCGAGAACTCCAAGAACTAAGCTTCACACAAGAGTCTTCCTCCACTAAAAAACCCTAGATCTGAAATCTGGGCTCTGATACCACTTGTTGCGCGCAGCGGAAATTTCGGCAGCACTTCGGCAGCACAACAAGAGAGTCAGATCGCAATAAGAATTCCTGTCTCACCAAGGAGACAAGAATCTGAAGCGGATATCTCAACCAAGTGAGATATCGGCTCTTCCTCTCATCAGTTCTAGGACTGACCTGTCGAGGGATCCTAAAAGCTATTACAAATCACACAAAAGCAGTACAATCAATTTTTACGTGGTTCGGCAAATTGCCTACGTCCACGGGGCAAGGAGGGGGGAGATCTACTAATAGAGGGAGAGAATACAACTAGGGTTTACAATCACTCACTATCTAAACCCTCAAACAAACTCACTCAAATCCCTCTCAAACTCTCTACAAAAGGATGCACAAAACACTAAATAACAAAACAATGGTGACTGCTTCTTTTATCCTCCAGCCGCAAAAGAATAACCAAGCCGAAAAGTAATTCTCCTGCGCGCAACACTGTAGCCGCCACAAGTTCCGCACGTCCGAAGCCTCCCGCTCTCAACCGCTTGCACTTTTCTCTCTGCCTCAGCCGCAAAAGAGAAATAAACAAAACTTCCTTGCACACCTCCAATAGCTACCGCAAAAAAAAAACCCTAATAAAATAATGTTTATATAGGGAGCAGGCAGTTGGTTCGTGGGCCGGATTTGTTTCTGTGCACGAAAACAAATCCATGCGGAAACAAATCGCGTTCTTTTCCGTGTGGTAGACCCCACACATCACAATTCTCCACCTCGGTGAAGTTTTCCCAAAACTGAGCCGACACCAAAGCAACCAAATGTCCCACTTGAACCGAAAAAGTATCAAGTGCATTCAGGTCCATGGCATTAAATATGTACCAAATGAATCTTAGCTCTTGGATCACTGGATTTCAGGATTCATACACAAATCCAAGAGTTGACATCCTTTGGATGCGCATTTGTTGCTATGTACCATCCCCACTGAATAGCGTGAAAGTATCATATGCATCCCGGTTCATGACATTTAATGTGCACCCAAGGGAAATCAACCCTCGGATCAGTGCATGAATCACGAGGTTCAATGATCCAAAGATTAATATCATTTTGGTGTTGGACCAGATGCACTAGATACTTTCGATCTCTTTTTTTCTCCTCCCTCTACTCTCTATCTCCTCTCCTCCCCTCCCTCCTCCTCGCTGGAAAACATGGTAACCAGAATGATGAGAGCATGGTCAGATGAGTTCCTACACTGTCCGCCTTGACTCTGAGACCAACAAGGAGCTGCCTTGACTCTGAGACCAACAAGGAGCTTGATAGAGTGAACAAGAACAGGTACAAGCTGTTAATGTGAAATTTTTAAATTAGTTTTTCAGTTCCTTGAATGGTTATTGATGTATTTTGTTTGCGTGCTTTATCTTCTTGCTGTTGGTTTGAAGGTTTGGATCCCTTAAGACACAATGCAACAGAGCATAAACATTTTTATCCTGTTCTTTCAGTTCTCGAGATGGGTTTGTTTCTTCTTCTGGTTTGAGATGGTTGTAGTCCCTAATTCTAAATCAATTTTGAGTTTTCACCCTTTTACTATTCATTTTATTCTTGCCGAGGAGGGTGAGGACGGACGAGAGGGGGCATGGAGCATTTGGGGGTTTTGGAGGGGGGGGGGGGGGGAGGAGGATGGCGGTCGGCGGGAGAGAATAAACTAATTAGTATTATTAATTTATTAATTGTTTTTGGTTTTTCTAGAATTCCCAAACTTATTTGATGTCAAGTGACAATTTCAATTTTTTGGAAGTTAAGTGCTAAACGCTCAAAGTTGTTCGTGGTTTACTGAAATTTGCCCAAACATTAAGTTTGGGTTAGTAAAATTAATTTTTTTGAAGTTTAGGGTAGTTTTGGGGAAAAAAATCAAATGTTGGGGGTATCAAAGGTAAAATGAGGAAAATTTTAGGGTATGTAAGTGTAAATAACCCTAGGGATATCAAAGATAAAATGAGATAAACTTTGGCTATACAAGTGCAAATAACCCTATAAAATACTAGTGCAAATAACCCTATAAAAGAAGGTATGAAGGTTTTTGCAGACGATATGTAGGTTGCACTTATGATATTCTATTGTGCTTAGTATATTATTGTATAATGAACATGGAGGGCATACCATGTAAATTTTTCGTACAAAATTTGACTTGTTCAACAGTCCCCAACCAAAGTTTTGCATAATTTTGTTGAATAATTTTGTTGATTTTTTAAACTTACTAGATTTTTCTTTTTTGATATGTTTCTGGAAACATTAATTCTTCCACCAACTCTTATCAACAACTCTAACCATTTTTAGAGAAAGTGCAGGGACCTAAAGCAGATGAGGCTTTTATTTCTGGAGCCTAGACAAAAAGTTTCCTATTTTTTAACGAATATTATTATGTAACAAATCCAGCGCAAAAAGTATACACGGACAATGTCTTTATCAATTCAGTTATCCAATGGTCTTAACAATTTTGAGAAAAATTAAACTACAACAGGAATAGAAATCCATTTTTTTTATCCACGTTAGTATGGATAGTGTGATTTGGTATAAGTTGTACATCCAAGAGCCAAAATCTAACAGTTATCCTTGGAATCTTACACCGAATTATCAATGAAGATAATAATCCCTTCCATCGTCCCTCCTTAAGAAACTGTGAATATTACGAACAGCAACAATAGTTATAGAAATCTAGTTTAACTAATTTCCTCACGTTAATTTTTTTTTTATCGGGAGTTTGTAAAGCAACTCACACAAAAATCATATTACATTATCACCAAATCAATTTCATCCATCAAATCACAATATGATCATTTACGTCTTCTAAAAGTGGAGAGAAGCTTCTTAACAAATCCCTGCTGCTTCTCAACCTGCAAGATACCAAATTTTTCATTAATCCTTGAGTATTTAAAGTTCAAAGATACAGACAAACTCAGCCTATGTTAATATTACCCTTATGTTCTTTGCAATTAGAAGCATTGTGTTTCCCATAGAATCACTCATCTTCTTGACTGCCATCTTCTTCTCTTTTTTCCTTCTGAAGATAACACCTGGTCTCAGAATGAATCCCGGTATCAGCAACCTCCTCCAATTCCCTAAGCACGTCGGGTTCCTTCGAATACTCGGATTGCGATACAGTGGAATAATCTAAATTAGGCAAGCATTAATAGGGCAAATGAGTAAATCGTAACAACAACAAATTTTCCTATGATGAATGAAATGCCAAGGATGTTTGATTGACAGGGAATAGAGCTAAAGCATCAAATGCTAGTCGGCAATGGTAATCGAATTTCCCTTTCACAAGTAAAAAAAATTGCAACATTGTTGCAGCTGATCTGATAGCAGCAAATTCTGCAAGTCCTCACATTAATTTAAAGATTTAAAAATAATGTCACGTCATCAAATTAGTGGCTCCCAACTCAGAAACTGTATATCATTTTATAATTGCAGATAAACAAATACTTGGTTTGCAGTGAAAGACATTTCCTATAATAAAAAATGTAAATCCAACTGTTTTTGCAACTAACCAAACACTATATTTCAATTTGTAAATACCTTTCGTACAATAAATATGCAGATATACAATAAAATATGCTAGGTTAATTTCTTGCAAATAATTGCACCATTTTAATTTTTCTGAAATTTACCATACCTTGTTAGAAGTAAGCCTGGAGCTGGTTTTGGGGGTGGAAGGTGTTTGTTCACGGTGGGCACTGGTCCTCAACCGTTGGCAATGCTGAAGAAGCTCAGCCTTCCGATCATAACCACCACGTTGATGATGGTGAACGTGGTGATAGTGATGGTGGTGGTGGTGGTAGGGCCTCTGACGATCAGTTGACCGCCTAGGCTTCACCACATAAACTGATATAAACACGGGTGCCTTCTTCTGAGAGGACATCTTCTGCAAACATAAAAACAAACACTTTCACAGAGATTCTTGGATTTTATATGGAAGATTGCAGGCCGAGATCTAACAAGTGCACGCAAGATGAAGACAAATCAATTGATGAAAACATTAGGGCTATGTTGCTTGGCATTTGTTTGGGTTGTTACTGCCAAAAGAGAACATGGTGTTTATATCACATTAGGTATGATATATGACATATAGTACATTGAAACGTTCAACCCTTTCGCTTTCAAGGCACCCGCCTTCTATCTCACAAAGATTATAATAAGGCATTTAATATTATCCGACTGATTTACCAAAGTAAAGTGTTATTCGAATTAGTTTGTTGTTACAAAGATTTGCATACAGACGTTCGTCCACTATGCATGACGTCATAAACAGGATTAGCATGACTAATTCAAGTCTTCTTCCATTAGTTACTTCAAGCTAGGATCCAAGCTTGAGCTTTCATTAATCAAGACTAGCTTTTAACAACAAGTTTAATATGAATTAACAGGTGCATAGCTTGCAAGGTCTTTCATTAGCTATTACATGTTATTAGAGATCTAGCTGTACATGTTTTCCTATAACTGAAGTCATATTATATGAAGAGCTTTCCAGGTAACTGATTGTTTCTTTTAAATATTAACACTTTGTATCAATAGTGTACATTTTACTCTTTAAACTTCAATATCAGTCTCTTAGATTCCCAAAGCAAATACCACATATTCTGACCAGCTCAACTCATTGTTATACATTTTATCTACTAAGAAAATTTTCATGTTCAAGGAGAATAATGCCAAAGCTTATAACCTGTATTTAGAAATCATCAATGTGATAGCTTTATAGTTCAGTATTTGTTTCCTATTAGAGGTAAATTGCAAATTTTATCATTGAGAAGAGGACTAATTTTGACCGTGTTAGACTAGAACTACTGTGAATGAGTTACCATCTATACCAAACCACATAGGACACTAATTCATTCATCAACACATTACCTGAAGCACCACAAATTTTCTTACAGATACTATGGAGGTGAGAATCTTAAAGATATGGTTACATGATGGACTCCCTTAAAAAGAAAGCAATAGTTACAATATTTGACAAGATACTGTAACACCAAACAGGAGAGTTTTGAACCATATACCATTTTGAGGTGAAAAACGTTGACCATGATAGTATCTGGATACAGTCAAGATAAACAAACCAACTCAAATGAGAATCCTAAACTATAATTGTTCTATGTACGTAGCGGCTTGGAGTAAGGAATTCCTGATGTTTGCCTATGAGCCTATCCTGATCAGTTGAACCTGACGATGCCTTAAGGAACATTAATAAATTTAAATGTCTCTTAAATGCTTAATATAGAACTTGCTTCATGGACTATAATTTGTTTAATGATCTTCACTGCCCAGAAAGAGGTAAACTATTCAGTCGGTCTTGCCTTCAAACAAGTATACATGTAATAATAATAATAATAATAAACTAAATAGCACGCTAAAGAAGTGAATGCCATAGTAGTAAAAGAATTACGATTCCGAAGTTTACAAGGAGAAATCAAGTATCATCAGATTAGTTGCACATGTTTCTCAAGTATTCTTACACTGAACTCAAAACTCAATCTCCTGTAATAATAAACATTAATGGGGAAGGTAACTTGTGCAAAATGGAAAATTAGCATTCCCAATAGTTTAACTTCGACATATAGCTCTTCTTCCCCCCTTGTGTTTTCAGATCAAGAAGAAATAGTTTCTTTTTTATATTTGAGAAAGCAACTTTTGTTTAACAAAGATGCGGAATGCAACTTTTGTTTAACAAAGATGCGGCCGTTTAATGGATATTTTGGTAAGAAGACTATGTTTCACAATTCAGAGAATTTTACATAAAACTGGAAAACGGCAAAGCCTGATAATTTTCTAGTGATGTTAGCTCCTAGAAGCCAATACAAATTCATACCGGCAAAAAAGGCTTAATAACATAAACGACAGAAAATAGTTATTGCATAGGAAATCAAAGAAACAAAGATAAATGGAAGTAGAATCAGCTTACTCAAGATCATCAGTTATATGCATCTACGGCTCCTTTTTCAGTCTGTGCCGAATCCTGATCAATCATTTATGGCTTCAATGCAGCTTCCTTTCTCGAAAGTGTCCAACTATTGACCATATAAGACATTTAATAGCTAAGGAAGAGATCACATGCCCTGAAGAAAAAAATAATGTTTGGTACATACATGAGACTTTCCTTCATCTCTTTCTAGCTTGCAATAGATTATCTTGTGCATCTTTTCTCCCTCCAAAAACTAAGCTGATTAGGTTCCCATAAGTCCATAATTTTCTTTCTTTCCCTTTATATTTAAGAGAGGAGTATGTCTTCTCACAATTCCTTCCCATAAGTCCATAATTTTCTTTCTTTCCCTTTATATTTAAGAGAGGAGTATGTCTTCTCACAATTCCTGATGAAAGACCCTTTGCCAAAAGCACCTCCCTTTATATTTAAGAGAGGAGTATGTCTTCTCACAATTCCTGATGAAAGACCCTTTGCCAAAAGCACTCAAAACTAGAGGATCCGTGCTCATTTCCACCGCTCTTTTAGATAACCATTTCTTTTCCATACTTCCAACACACGGATGCCATTATACCCAGTCTTACAAGCATCAAAAAGAATTCCAAAAGTCACCATATCGGGTTTCAATTTGTGCATTTCAATCCGAGAAAGTGCGCCATTTAAAGCCTTGAAGTCATTGATTTTAAGATAAAACAGCCCAAGAATATTTGTATGGGTTAATATAAACTCAACTTTTGCTGTATCCATTTCCCTAACAACAGATTCTACACCCTTTCGGCTCAAGAGACAAGCAGAAGCAAGGAGGAGAATGCACCAAACAATATCGGTTCTACCAGTTCTGGAACTGATCTCATTCCCAAACTCTTCCAACCGAACAAACCGATGATGCTCTACGTAAACCATAGCCAACTTTTTTATTAGATTTTCCTTCATATATGCTTCTGAATGCAAAAATCTGTGGAACATTTTCTCCATTTTTTCCAAGATCCCCAGATCAGCATAAGCCTCCAGCATTGTGAGCAAAGAGTGAGGCTGCAAGTTCACTCTTTTTGATTGGAGAGCTTTCCATTCTTTCAAAAAGTCCTCATCGAGCATATTCTTCAAGTAAAAAATTATTGGTAACCTCATTTGGAAAACATCCTTTTGATTCCATCTCCTTCACACACTTACTCATCTCATCATACAATTTATAATCTCCATAAGCTCGAATAAGCCCATTATATGTTTCAGGTGTAGGCAGCAAACCAGCCTCTACCATTTTACTCAACATGTTTCTTGACTTATCAAACTCTCTTTCTCGCAAACCCATGAATTATGTCATTGTAGATTGGCAAAGAAGGGACAACACAATGCTCCTCCATGTCATGGAGGGTTGAGAGTGCTCTTTCCATGTAATTTCTTTCACACAATAGATGTATGATTTTGGTGTAGTTGTAACCAGCGATTCGAGATGTTTCTTTGTTTTTCCACGAATCAAACACGTACCTGTGTATCACATAAATGAGGACCTCAATTTTATGGAGAAGAGAACATATTCAATTATTTTTTAAAAAATATTGAAATTTCAAGGAAAGCACGTTCCCCTAAACTATGATCAACTTTTGCTATTTCCAATTACCATATTGAACAATGCGCCTGGACATATGAAACTATCAATATCAAGTGGCATTCGTGGTACATTCGTGTCTAATATAATGAACTTGGACCCTGTAAGCCATCCAACGTCATGGGAAGCAACTCAAAAAACCAAGGAAATTATTGAAAAATGACACATACGGGAAGCCAAGACCCAGGGATCAAATGGCTCACTCATAAGATCAATTTAAGTCCATTAAATAATCTCAAATGTTTGCGGCAAAAATTCCGTATGCCAAAGTCCTACATCTCATAGGAACCCAAAACTACATAAAGAAGTTTTAACAACTAAATTAACCAAATAGTTTAACAGATTTCAAAGCATTAGATATTATATAATTCAGCATTTCAAAAGGGTTACTCTTAAAAAAGGTTTAAATGCATTTTATCTTCTCAAAGGGGGAAAAAAATAAACATTAAAAAAAATTAAAAAATCGAAACCTGAATCGCTTCTTCGACTCTCTCTTCCTCCAACAGCAGCACAACCACAGCCCAGAGCTGCTCCTTACTCCAATCCCAACTGGGTCCGATCCCTCGATGGAAACTTCTTCGATCAAATCTTTGAGGATCTTGTTATAGTGAAAAGTCTCAACCAGGAGGTCCTTGTGCTGCTGATGATGATTACGGTGGTCAAGATGGATCTTGTTATAGTGAAACGCGTAATGGAGGGATGAGAGAAGAGGAGGGAGAGGGTTTTGTTAGGGTTTTTGAAGGGGAAGAAGAGATTTTGGGGGTGGGATTGGATCAAAGTTCTCATGGTTTGTGCTTTGGACAACGAGGGAACAATTAGCTAAAAATCAAGGATATTTATAAGTGGGCTATCTAAATGGGCCTAATGATCTGTTGGGCTGAGCCCAAGTTTGAAATTATTTAAAACACCCAGAAAATGGTAATGATAGATAAATGAGTGGCACTACAGGCACACCTTGTGCCACACCCTCAGCCACACTCCCCTCTCTCTGCTACAGTAACCGGGCCCACGTGAGATTTATAAAAATAAATCTCATGTGGGCCCGGTTACTGCAGCAGAGAGAGGGGAGTGTGACTGAGGGTGTGGCACAAGGTGTGTCTGTATCATTTTTGTAGATAAATTGAAATGGTTAGTTAAAAGATGATTTTGCAGAGTTCACATTAAGTTACTTCAGTTACATTTTTTTTTTGGCCCAAAAGACCATATTTTATGAAGTCAAATGCTGATTTGTGGGAACAAATAGTGAAATTAATACAAAACTCCATCAAGACATGGGTAAGTTTTGGTTTAAAAAAAATCAAAAGAAAAACACAACTAAAATTAAAGATCTTGTATTAATTGAGAAGTAATTTTAATTATGTTTCTCAATAGGCATGTACTAACCCTAAAACATTACTAAAAGTAATATTATTTTCTTCAATTAGAGTAAACAGACGCCCATATGCCCCCTCATGCTCTTGATTGGTATGTCGCTAACATCGGTATCAAACCTTTTCACAATCTGGATCATCAACATAACTACATTATAACTAACGACATGGATGCGCACGCAGCCAAGAACATGAAGCAACACAAACTCGCTCTTACAGTAACTTGGAGATCAAAATGGCATCACAATCAGAGACACTTTTCATCAAGAATCAAAATCAAAATGGCGTAACTTGGAGATCAAAATGGCATCACAATCAGAGACACTTTTCATCAAGAATCAAAATCAAAATGGCATAAAACATCCCTTGCCAAATGGCATCACAATCAGAGACACTTTTCATCAAGAATCAAAATCAAAATGGCATAAAACATCCCTTGCCAAATCACAAAACAAATGCAGATGCCAAAGAAATTATCTCCACAGAAACCTGCATTCTCTCAACAACAACAACAATCTTATTCTTACATCCAACCAAGGACTACCTCCATTATGTTTAGCCACAAATCTGCATTCTTTCCTAGAATTTGTTTTGCCGCAAGCTCCATCACGGTACCATGCAAACAACATGATAATAGAAAGACTCAGATAAAATAAATATCAGCTTCTTCACCTTTGACAACAGGATATAATCCAAAGCACATTACCATATTAAAGTCGAAGAGTTTAAACAAGCAAATGCAACACACAACAACAACAACACAACATAACCAAAATAACAGAAGCAAAGGCATGTCGATCAATTGTCTGAAGAAAAGCACCACAATAAAACCTAAGCAAAAGGACACAAACAGCAACAACTCCAGAAACCATAAATGGAGAAAGGGCTATCACCGCCAAAACCAGTGGAACTCCCAGTTGATGCACTAGATTTCATCGGATCATAAATGAGCATCTGCCATCAACATAAAACCAGTGTTAGTCTCGTAGATGCACTAGATTTCATCGGATCATAAATGAGCATCTGCCATCAACATAAAACCAGTGTTAGTCTCGTATTTTCTGAAGAGAAAAACAACTTTATTATATTGTTCACTGAAAACCCACAAGATTTGAAGAAATTCCAAACAAGACTGAACTCAAACAATGATGAAATTGCTCCTGGAGATCTTTAAGCTCATAAGTTCTTTAATCTATTTATCCTCATATTATTTTTCATTCACCCATAAGAATAATAGTTTATGTCAAAATGGTCACTTTTCTGAAATATCTCCACTATAATATTGTCTTAATTAGCTACTGTTGCTTGGAAAAAATATTATAAAATCAACTATTCTCTGTGACAGTTCATCAAGTCACCTCCAAGATCCTCTTTGGGATAATTGCATTTTATCCCTCAAATCTTCAATAATTCTCTAATAGCCCCTTAAATGTTTGAAACTGCTCATAAGTTACTGAACTCCTGAGGGGTCTTGCAAATTAGCTCCTCAATGTGTCCAAATGCACTCAACTTATGTTTTTGTGAATACAAGTTCTGAGGCCATATTGGTTATTGAGGAACCAATTTGCAAGACACCTTAGGTTTGAGAGACTTGCGAGCAATTTGAAAGATTGGAGGGAATAATATGGAATTATTGAAGATTAAAGGGACTAATATCCAAAAACTATTCCGTTTTCCCATATTATATCAGGGTGTACTATGATGCAACCTACGAACAACAGACTATGTTCATGAAACTTGAATACTATGTTCAACCATAAAAGTTCTACAATTTCTTTTCCCGCCATAAAAGGAGAAAAGGAAATAGTTATACTTGGTACATGATATGATGGCTTCCTCCAATTCAAACCCTGACGACAGTTTATTATTCAACAACATATCCTAGTGGACAAGCCATGTCCTATTTGATTTGCTCAAGATAGCCGATACTCAGAATATTAAGCGAAAAAATAATGCAAAGTTTATGATTTTTAGCAGTGGCTCACCTCTCGATCTAGCTATTGAGTCCAAAGTAAGTCGGAGGCCTTCCCATCAATCTGAGGTCAGCCGAAGCACAAGTCTGTTACCCATTGTCTCAATATAACTCACAGTTTTGCTAGTGGTCCTCGTACACTGAGAAAATGACATAATTTCTATAGTTTTTCCACAATTAAATATCACAGAAAACACCCCATTGTCACTGACTCTGCAGCCGGATGCAAAAAGAGTTTTTAGTTTCCCACAGTTCTCTGCCATCGTCATCAAACTCTGATCAGTAATACTCGTGCAATCATCCACAGTCAAGAACTGGATATTTCTGCCTGAAGTTCTTAGCACTGAGCATAAACCCACATCACTGATTCCTATGCAGCCATCCAGATGTAAAAACTGAAGCAAGTGATCAGTGTTGTGTCTTACAAGATCTTGGAGTCCTCGGTCAGTGATAGAATCTATCTCATCCAAGGTAATATGCTTCGCTTGCTTGCACACAGGCCCCAATGAAGATAAGAAGCAGTCATCAACTCCTTCACATTTTATCAATTTGAGGGATCTAAATGATGGGAAGTTCCGAAAGGCTTGTTCTTGTGTCACTTCTTGTTTACCGACTATAATGCAGTTAATCAATGATATTACCTCCAAATATTGGCTCCAGTTTGCGACTGCTGCAAGAATTCCTCCAGAGGTGAATCCCCGACACTTCTTTAGCTTGAATTTTTGCAGAAACTTCGTAATTTGGCTCAGTGCTAACAGAAAATCATCACTTAACAAAAAATAACTCTCCATTTCCAAAATCTCTAAGCGGACCAAGCTCCTTATTGTAAAACTGGCATAAGGACGAGGAATAACTGCTTCAAGATTTCCAATTGCTTCAATCCATTGATAAAGAATCTCACCCGGATATGGAACTTTTTCTAGGTAAAACACCTTTAAAGCCCGTCCATGCTCTTGTATTGCTTTGAGAACTTCATTACCGACATTCATAGAGATAAGCTTGATCCTCATCAACTCTGGTTGACTAGATATGAGATAAAAGATAGCAGAATCTTCAATAAGTACGCAGTCTCTTAAGGTGATGGACTTAAGAAGCAAAGACTTGTTTGCGAATGCCATCAGCAATTCATTGCTAATCCGAGGACAGTGCTCTAGGCTCAGTGCAGACAAATGTAAGCAATTCTCAGCTATTGGCATGATCCCTTCATCATCAATAAACGAATTTATCAGCTCTAGCTTTTCAAGCTGTTTGCAAAATTCAGCAACAGACTTTAATCCCACATTTCCCACAGAATAACAGCTCTGAAGAGTAAGAGACGCAAGCATGGGGCTTAGTTGTGCAATAATCTTTAGGCCATCATCAGTGATCCCAACAAAAAGAACATCGCCCAGATAAAGAGAAGTCAAGTGATGAAGAGGATAGGTCCCCACACCTAAATTAGTAAGTGTAATATCATTAGCTGACCTCCCTTCGAGTCGACGACACAATGGTATAGTCTCCGAATAGTCATAAGTGATTGATCTAACTTTGAGAATAATCAACTCAACCAGAAGCTTCAGCCAGTTCCTACATACTGCAGCACTGGCACAGTGATCCCGTGACGATTCAAGGAAGCTGAAGATGTGCATCAGGCACTCTGGGGGGAGTTTGTTGATTAGATCGTGACTTTCTGGCATATTTTTATTTTTCTTACACTCGAAACCAAACTTTGGGGGCTCTCCGCTTATCATCCTTGTCAAGCAAAAAATCATCATATCAAAATCATGGGTATACAAATAGGAGTAGATGGAGGCTGTTGCATCACGTCAACAACAAACCAGTCTCCACTCTAACAATAAACCCATAGAATTAATATTTATGGTCCACAAAACAAATGGATGCTTGTGACGATGAAAAAAGGGAGATAAACCCATAGAATTAATATTTATGGTCCACAAAACAAATGGATGCTTGTGACGATGAAAAAAGGGAGAACAAATAGAAAGTAATCATAAAAGCTTCCTGCTTAAGCAGCTATTTTTCCCCTCTTTCATTTGCTTTCTCCTTTGAATAAATTATGTGTCATTACTAATCAGTGTTGCAAGGATCCTTATCAAAGATTGTCGACATGTGAAGAAAACTGAAAACACAACATTTCTAAGAGTATAGGCTCCCTATCTCGAAGGGAAAAAAATACAAGCAGGTTTCACAAGTATATCTGAACACCTTCAATGCATTGATTTCATAAACTTCAACAATACATCAATATACAGCACTGAATAGGAAGGTTCTTAATAGGATTGTAAACAAGATTTTAAAGAAAATAAAATATTAAATCAAAATATTTAAAATTTTTGGAAAAAGATACTTTAAATATTGCTTTAATGCCAAATGACAGCGTAAACATGATCTTCTCATCTTGGTTAATAATTTTTGTGTGGTTCTATCATTTACAGAAAGGGAAAAGGAAAACAAGAGCACCACAACAAAAATATAAAATCCAGTCAAGAGTAATACCCACAACTTAGTTAAGCTACCCCAACAAGAAAAAAATACAACACAAACTAGAATATATCTAGAGCAATAGAACACCACACAGAACAATTATGATAATGAACTGGCAATGTATTAAATTTCAAGATGCATGTGTCTGCTAATTCTAGATTAATCTGATCTAGTACAAAGGTTCATCAAGTTAATACCTTAAACGTTTATAGTTGGCCTCAGTTATTCTCAGAAGCCAATTCATTAAAAGAGGATGCTTAGAGAACACTCATACTCCCTTACAAGGAGTTTAATACCCCAATATTCAGTTACAAAGACCTTAAATTTCTAATATTTTGACATTTCTATTTGCAGAAAAAGGTTCCTCTCAATTAACCTTAAATTTGACTGTATTTTCTTTTAAGATCTTCATTTAGATTGTGACAATAAAAGTTGCAATATATCCCCAAAGAAAGGGAAGGATTAATTTATTTAAATTTTCTTCAATTAGATGGTGACCCTAAAAATTGCAATATATTTCCAAGGAAAGGGAAGGACTTCTTCATTTGTATGAAAAAACATATTTTTCTAAACAGATATACAATAATCAATACATAAATACATCCTCTAAACACAAAAACATTAAAGTAAATATTAAAAATATTACCTTGTTAAGCAGATCTATCCAAAATTATTTGGGGAGAAAAAAAAATCCTCTTTTGGGCAAGAGATTACCTAGCATTCACACTTTATAAGTGGAATCTTGCTTCTATTTGCTCCTTTTCTGTATTTGATCTCAAGCTTTCAGGTCGGCAGAGAGATACCCTTAAGAGAAAACCCTAATTCTTTTCCATTCCAAAATGAGATATTTATACCTTTGAAAAGTTCGGAGAAACATACCCCCTAGAAATATTGCTAAGGGTAAAATGGACAATTCTCTAGAAGCCATCAACACCGCATGCCAAAAAAGTACTGTTCTTCAAAAATAAATTTAGGAAATAAATGGTAAAAAAAGACATACTAAAATACTCGCAGACAACAGAAAGTTTGAGGTAACCTTATACATTTTACCTTGAAACTGCCAAGACTTCCTATTACCGAAGATGCTATTAAAAACAAGTTAACAAAGGATAAAAGCTCAAGAAATTAGCAGCAAACAAGACCTTATCAAAGTAAAGCAAGCTCTCTTTGAGATCTTTGATACCTTCGCCTTGACCAGAATTTAGCCAAATACCTTTATGTCGCGTAATTCAACCATTTGTCATTCTGGAACTTACTATGAAGTCCTTGTTGAGATATCTTCTGACCATCAACCTGTAGCATATATAAACATAGGAGATTCTTTTGAACACAAATGCTTGATCTATTCAGTTTAATCATTATAATTGGTTGACGATTTCCCCTTCTATCCAACACTAATTTTAAATTTTTATATCCTTTAAGATCACAGTGATGGTTAATCTTACGTGAAAAGGCAGTGATTTCTGCATCACTTGCTTACTTAGGCGATAGTAAATGTATTTATGACAAGTGCATAGGTTTGGACTTATAGTCTTATTGGGTTCACATTTCTCAAGTTGGAAGACATATAATAATTTAGTATTCTCACAAAGAGATATTCTTTGTTGAGGCTAGAGAACTTGCCTGGATATGTTTTATAATATTCTAGTAACAATGCCTAAAGACTAAGGTATTATACCATACATAGCTACAGTGGTGAAATAGACCAATTGGACTCTAAAATACTTTCTATAATATTTTTCATAACATTATTCCTCATAAAAACAATACACAATAGTTTCAGATTAAATATAAAATTGGTATCAGTTCCAATGTCGCATGGCAAGCCAACTAATACTTTCAAGTCTAATAATTCAAAATTTTTAAACCCTCTTCTCACTACTAACTTTAAGATTAACAAAGTTTGTCAAGAAAACTAAAGCTACTTTCCAAAAGTCAAAATCTTTAACTTTCCATGGTATCCTTCATTGATTTTCAAACCTTATTTATTTAGTTAAAACAATTTTGTCAACTTCATAATGTATAAAGCCATTGGCGGAGTCAAATCTTTCATATTTAAAATTAGTCCCCCAAATATTTCATATTTGAAAATAGTCCCCAAAATCTTTGCAACTTGGAGTTAGTTCCCCAAATCGTTTGAAGAGTTGGTAACTTAGTGCTTTTGTTATATTTACCATCTAACTTGTTACAAATCATTATTGCATAATTGTTAATCAGGGACGGGTAATTACCAAATTATCAAATCAACCAAAAATCACCAGATTTAAGTCTGACATTGCATAATAGTTTCCTAATTTGCACTCCGGTGAAGCCTTTTTTGGGGTTTTGATTTGAACGTATATGGGTATAACTGAAGTTGCACCCGAAAAAATGATAAAGATGGCAGAACATTCTCAGCCTCTAACTAGAGCAATTGAACCCAAATCACTTAAAGAGTTGGAAGACTAATATAAAATCTCTCTCCCCCCCTATATATATATATATATATATATATATATATATATATATATATTAGATTAATGGGTATCCTTGTCATAGGAGGGGATTTCCTCATTGACGCCTCTAAAATCACATGATTGAGCCGACATTATGAATGATTCCGCTCCCGTTGAACTTGATCTACATATTCTAAAACCCCAACACAGAGTTTTGGGGTGAACCGTCGCGTTGACCCTTCTCCACTCGTATCAATTTTAACGGTATTGAATGAATAGAACTTTTCACATGCTCGATGGAGCGTTTCAAACAACGACGCGATTCTCCCTAAACTCGTGTGTTGTGGGTTTTAGAATCATGTAGATCAAGCTCACGGATCGGATCATCCATGAATGCTCGCTTCAATCATGTGATTTTAGAGCGTCAAGGAGAAATCCTCTACCTATAACAAGGAATACCCATATATCTCTCTTCTCTCTCTCTCTCTCGTATATAATATATATATATATATATTATATATATATACTATAATTATTATATATGGAGAAATATGGGTCATGCCTTGGTACCAAGCACAAATTTTGTGCCTGTGGTAGTGATGTGCTCACATCCTCATCCACTCCCTGACCATGTGAATGGTGGTCCCAATTGATTGGAGTGGAGGGGAGCCCGACAGCCTCACTAACCAAGCACAACTTTTTTTGGTGCTTGGGCGGGGGATACAAGATACCATATTTCTCTCTCTCTCTCTCTCTCTCTTCTCTCTATATAGGTGATATTATATAGTAGTATATATACGGTTTTTCTATAGAGTGCCCTTGGGCACTCTATAAGAGAGGAGAGAGATAGAGAGAAATGAATGAAGAGATGATCCCAATGCAAATCAGGGGGGCCCCCTCCTCATTCATTTCTCTCTATCTCTCTCCTCTCTTATAGAGTGCCCAAGGGCACTCTATAGAAAAACCGATATATATATAGGGGGGAGAGACACATCTTTTCCGTGTAACGTTTTGTTCCTTGTTTTAAGTAGAACATAAACGGGCTTCAACTTTTATGTATATAACAGTAGAATGGTGAAGTCAGGTTCTCTTCATTTCATGAAGTTCACATTAAAAAGTACATATTTGAAATAAGTGCTCTTGTTCATGTACTTCTGCAATTATTTCTTATCATCATTGTTTAAAATAAGTTTAATGACATAATTTATAGTGTATTGTCAGTAAAATTTACTGATATGAGGAATTGGCTTCGACTGGACAAAGAGGTGGAGGAGCTTTGACTGCAGATGGTGATGATAAGTTTTGATGAGGAGCTCAAAAGAAAGTGATGTCGTTATGGTGATGGCTAAGGAGGAGGTTGCTGGAGAAGCATTTGGAGGCGAATTTGGACGCGGATTTTTTAGTGGGGAGGCGACGGAGTTGGCCAGAGGTATTGGACTCGGTGGCTGGAGAAAGAGTTGGAGTTCGGGTTTATTTTCCTCTCGATTTGCAAAAGTGGTGAGGGAGAGAGAGGAGTAGAGGATTTTTATTTTCCTCTCGATTTGCAAAAGTGGTGAGGGAGAGAGAGAGAGGGAGGGAGAGAGAGAGAGAGAGAGGGGGGGAGAGAGAGAGAGAGAGAAGCAAAGGATTTTACATAAGAAAATGGGTCTGGGTCGAGGTCAGGAAGTGTATAATATAAACTCATATTTATATTTTTAAAGCACTGTTAAGCGCTCAACAATACTTATAAGAGCTTACTGCATGTTCTACCAGAAAGTGCCGCATCGACTTTCTTTGGCCGCTTTCGATGAAAGCACAGCGGTGGATACCGCTTCTGCTTTGCAGACCGCTTAAACAACCAAAAGCAGGGCACTTTTCAACACTGAAGCAGAAAGACTTCAGATCCTTGCTTCGAATTTCCTGAACATGTGAGCTGAACAAATATGTTCCTTGGAAAGTCCCAGAATTCTCAAAATCTTAATCTCAGGAGAACCAAAAGATTTTTTTTTTTACTTTTCAGTTTAGCTGAATCAACATAGTGAACATCAAGACGACAAAAGTAATTTGGAACCTACATGTTTTGGTATGTTATTTTAACAGATAATTTAGTCAAGGATAATATTCTAATAGCTCTTGCAAGAACTACTTTCATCTCCTTATCTTTATGCATAAGTTATGAACTTTGAAGCACGGAAACGGGTACAGGTACGATGCAATATGGACACAAAGACAACGATTTCTAAAAACTAGGTCCCATGCATGCCATGTGTGTAGAAAAGTCATCAACTTAAAAATAGAATATTTTGACAGGTATAAGAGACGAGATGGCTACGCAGATAAGGCCATCTTAAAAATATACTACTTTGTTACACTCTCGAATAATCATAATGATTCATATCCTTTATTAGAAAAAAATGACAAACTTAGTAAAAAGAATACATCTCGAAGAAATCGTTTTTGCAATTTAGGTATTTAGGAGCAACCAAGCATCAAGATGTGACCAAGAAAGATATGTTTCATAAAATTAAACCCAGATGGATAAAGTGGAGAAGTGCTTCTATAGTATTATGTGATCATATAATATTCATGAAATTGAAAGGGAAAAAAAATCATGAGATAACTATAAGACCATCAATACTTTATGGATCAAATTATTGGGAACTTAAAAGCTAAGAATACATTCATTATATCATACACAGTACAGATAAAGAAACTATCAATTTATTATTTGCACTTGTAAAATCTACCGGTATCAAATGAGGAGGTCTTTGTGCTGCTGTTGCTGCTGCTGTTGATGGTGATCAAGATGAAGACTGCTGTAATTTTGGGATGCAACTAGTAATGGAGGGACGAGATAAGAGGAGGGGGAGGGTTCTATTAGGGTTTTAGAGATGGATTTTGCGATTGGATTAGGGTTTTGGAAGGGGAAGAAGAGGTTTTGGGAGTGGGATTGGGTCAGAGTCCTCATTGTTTCTGTTCTTGGATAGCGAGGGGGAAGCGTCAGCGCTGGACATGTAGAAATGAGTTATTAACAAATGGGGTTCATTTGTTTGGCTCGAACTTTGGTACCGAGAAACAATTTCATTATTTAAAAGGGAAAATTGTGTCAATGTCACGGAAGCAAAATTTTTATGTGCTACACGTGTTTTGACTTATTACTTGCTAACTAAAAATAGAGAGAGAATAAAAAAAAAAATCCCAAAATGTTCTTATCTCTTCTATTCTTTCATGTTAAGTCTAAAATCAAGTTGAATTTGACTTAACATGAAAGTCTAATTTCATGTTAAGTTCAATTTAATTCATGTTAAGTCTAATTTAAATCATGTTATGTCTAATTCAACTTGTTTCAAGTCTAATTTAATTTATGTTTAAGTTTAATTCAACTTGTTTTAAGTCTAATTTCATGTTAAGTCCAAATTGATTCATGTTAAGTCTAATTTAATTTCTTTTTAAATCTAATTTAAATCATGTTATGTCTAATTCAATTTGTTTCAAGTCTAATTTAATTGGATTTAACATGAAATTAGACTTAAAAAAGTTAAATTAGATTTAACATATTTTAAATTAGACTTAAAAGGAATTTAACATGATTGAAATTAGACCTAACATGAACCGAATTTAGACTTAACACGAATCAAGTTGGACTTAACAGGAAACTAGATCTAACATGAATTGTTATTTGACTTAACATGAACTGAATTTAGACTTAACACGAATCAAGTTGGACTTAACATGAAATTAGACTTAACATGATCTGAATTTAGACTTAACATGAACTGAAATTAGGCTTAACACAAATCAAGTTGGACTTAACATGAAATTAGACCTAACATGAACTGTTATTAGACTTAACATGAACTAAATTTAGACTTAAAATGAATCAAGTTGTACTTAACATGAAATTAAACTTAACATGAATTTGTGTTAGACTTAACATGAACTGAAATTAGACTTAACACGAATCAAGTTGGACTTAACATGAAACTAGAACTAACATGAACGGAATTTAGACTTAACACGAATTAAGTCGGACTTAACATGAAATTAGACCTAACATGAACTGTTATTAGACTTAACATAAACTGAATTTATACTTAACATGAAATAAAAATTGGACTTAACACGAATCAAACTGGACTTAACATTAAACTAAATCTAACATGAACTGTTATTAGGCTAAACATGAACTGAATTTAGACTTAACACGAATCAAGTCAGACTTAACATGAACTGTTAGACTTAACATGAACTGAGTTTAGACTTAACATGAACTGAAATTAGACTTAAAATGAATCAAATTAGACTTAACATGAAACTAGACCTAACATGAACTGTTATTAGGCTTCACATGAATTGAATTTAGATTTAACACGAATCAAGTTGAACTTAACATGAAATTAGACATAACATAAACTGTTATTAGACTTAACATGAACTGAATTTAGACTTAACATGAATTAAAATTAGACTTAACACGAATCAAGTTGGACTTAACATGAAATTAGACTTAAAATGAATTAAATTAGATTTAACAAGAATCAAATTGGCCTTAACACGAAGTAAAATTGGACTTAATATGAAATTAGACTTAAAATAAATTGAAACAGACTTAACATGATTCATGTTAAGTCTAATTTAACTTATTTTTAGACTTAAAATAAGTTGAATTAGACATAATATGATTTAAATTAGGCTTTAAAAGAATTAAATTAGACTTAAACATGAATCAAACTGGACTTAATATGAATTAAATTGAACTTAACATAAAATTAGATTTGACATGATTCATGTTAACTCTAATCCAACCTATTTTTAAACCTAAAATAAGTTGAATTAGACTTAACATGATTTAAATTAGACTTAAAAGAAATTAAATTAGACTTAACATGAATCAAACTGGACCTAATGTGATAGATCTGGAGAGAACAAAGAGGAAGGAGAAAATGAGTGTATTTTGGACTTTTATATTTGTTTCTCTCTCTTTGTGTTTAGTTGACATGATAATTACATGGAAAAATGGCTGCAACACATGATATGATATTTCTTA